ACACAAACCAATCATGAATTCATACAAATTCAATAATATCACATAATTAACTTAAGAAATAATAATAATTAAGAAAAGAATTTGCTTCCTTAAAGCTTTGTGGCTTATTCTTCAATAAACATGCTAGAAAATCAGGAATAAAAGATTTAGACGTTCTAGCCTTTTTACTACCTCTAAGCTCATCTTTATTTTCATTGTATGATTTATGCACAAGGAAATGATATGCAATACTGTTATGAGCATAACCTATCAAAGGTTTTAGGTGTGGGGATTGTGCCCTTGTAGCTCGCCTAGTGTGGTAGCCTGTTAGTGCCTCTTGCACCCGTCCACGACACACTCACTTACAAGGTTGTCACATTTTAGGTCTCACTTTAACTTTCTTAGAAGAAAGTACAACCTTAGTTAGACACCCCCACATTTTTAAGAATTTATAGGAAGGTTTTCGACTTTTTCATAATTCATATGGTGTCACATTCGTTTTCTTTAGAGGTATTTTATTGAGTAAAATAATTTGCAGCAAGCAGAACTTCCCTCCACAAATTCTGAGTTAAACCAGAACTTATCAATATAGCATTCATCATTTCTTCGTGAATGATACCATATTCTAAACAAATATCAGCACATGATGTTTTGTATTCACAAATTCTCAACCTCGCTTTTGTAATGTTTAAACCTTTCTAAGGTTTATCTTTGCTTCGTAGCAAATATACATAACAGTATTTTGTGCAACTATTGATAAAAGTAACGAAGTACCTTTTTTCACCTCTAGTTGGCACATGTTTAAGGTAATGTCATATACTTCGTAATATCATATTACAAAATTAAAATAATTCAACCAATATTGAATTATATATATATAAATAATTCAATAGTCTACTTATATAACATGCTTCAATTTCATATAATATTGAACACATCAATATTTAGCATATTACCATATAATAATGTATAAAACATTATTTTATTATATCTCAACTATTAGTATGATATCTACTTATTTATATCTTAAATAGAAGTATATAATAAAATCTATGCAAGGAATGAATCTGTCGTAAGATTGTTTGTAAAATATATATATGCTTCATGTAACATTAAGATATAACAAACTTTATACTAATATGTCATGAGATAATTAACAATATGTTAAGAAATCATTAATTAAATATGCAACTCTATATTTAATTAAATATGCAAAATAAATTAATGAAATAATAATATAAATAAAGAACCTGGACCGAGGCTAATATTGGATACTATGTCCTTAAGACAGATTCGCCCCGTTATGGTGCTAAGGGACTCAATGGCGTCTATCTTCCAGGATACATCGGTCTATATCCACCAGTAGCAGCACTACAAACTCGTGGATACGGCGAACCTCCTCCGTATAATACTCTCTCTGACTCAAAAATGTATTTATATACTATATAAATGCTGAATTGGATGTAATCTGAACCAAATGGTTCGAACCAATCTTAATATGGCTCGATGAAATTGGATTAGGGTCTAAGTGGCTCGAACCACTTAACCTATGGTTTGAACCCACTTGAGTTGGGTTCAAGTCTAGAGAGGGAGATAGAAGAAAATGAAAATGAATAACTTGCAAATGATCCAAAGAAGGGTATTTATAGAAACAGAAATGCCTTTTCAAATTGGGTGCGTCTCTTCATCATTGGACACAACCATTGCAATAGGTTGCAATGGTTCACATGGTGTCTATTCACCACCAGACACATCCATTCCAATAAGTTGCAATGATTCACATGGTGTCTGTTCACCAATAGACACATCCATTCCAATAGCTTGCAATGTGCCTTTTCGAGTGGGTGCAACCATGGGTTATGATGGTTCGGAAAAAGGTGTAACCCTTTGAAAAAAAGCTAAAAAGTGGTTTTTTAATTTAAAAGATGTTAACCCTTTAGAAAAACTAAAATATGGTTTTTTAATTTAAAAGGTGTAACCTTTTAGAAAAACTAAAAAGTAAATTTTTTAATTCAAAAAAAACCAACCACCCAAAAAACCCACCCATTTGTGAAACCCATTTAAATAAGCCCAGCCTAAAATTAGGCCCAATCCAAAACTCTAAAAAAAGAATAATCTGGACTTTACAATTAGGCCTAAGCCCAAGCCCAAATCCTAAACTCAGCTTATTTAAATTTCAATTTGTTTCAACATTTTTTTTTCATGTGGGACAAACACTTCCCACATTTTGCATACCCATTTAAGCTTATCAAAATACCACACTTTGGAGCTAATTTCTCATTCATTCAGAAATGGATTTCAGAAAGTAAATATACCACATTCATTTCCTTGCGGAAAGAAATGCGCTTGTCTAGAGATCCGTAAAAAATTATTAGCGGAATCTATTTCAAATCTCATCCAAAGTTTATGTTTTTAATGCCCCCGTTTCCAACAGTATGTATATGGATAGTGGTGGGGCTGTGGAGTGGTAGGTGTGATAGAATGGTGGTGGGCGGTGGTGGCGACTGGTGAGTGGTGGCCTGGTAGGTGGTGGTTGAGGTGGTGGCTATGATAGGGTATTTTGGTTAAAAAAATAAATAATTGTATTGGATAGATTGGTAATTGAATTTGTCAAAGAGCAATAATGTCAATTCATTTTGTATCAGAACCATTGGGGTGTCTTTGTTAACTTTATTAAACTAAAAAGGGTGTTATCGTTCAAAAATAACCCAATTTATATATAATTGTCATTATACTAAATATCAGGGAGTGTTGTGGTGATTAACTCAAAAATTTTGCAAGACTATTTGTTAGATTATACTATTCTATTATATATATATATATATATATATATATACATGGTACCTTATTTTATTATATACATGTGACTAAAATATTTTTTTTTTATGATATTTTACTTTAAACCGCTGAACTATATTTGTGCATGTGTATTTATAAGTTTGTGCGGGAAGAAGCAATTGTCTACAGCACACCAACCAACAGCATAGAAGGTACAACTTTTACAGTGACGCATTGTTTCTTTTATGACATGAAACTTTTCTTCGGATATGCATTTTGTTGGTTCTTTTACTCAATAGCGTACTGGCCGGATTTAATTACTGTATGTTTAGTTAATTATTTTATTATTATTATTTTTTTTCACAATTATTTTATTATAACTGTGTTTGTTTTACCATCTTGAAATGTGTCAATTTGAAAAAAAAAAAAAAAAAATCATTGATGAGATTTATATTTATGAATATGGAATAAATCATCATGGTTTTATAGTTAAATATAAAATTGATACTGAAATTACAACTTACTATGATTGGATACTCATGTGATGGTAGGATTTTTAATCTTATATTTACACATATTTCAGTTTTATTCAAAAGAAACTCCCATTTAAATTTATGTGACGAAAAACAAAATTAATATTGATAATGTTTTGTTCCCGCATTAGCAATATCAATTATGCTCCATTTTATGCATCTTGATTTAATTGAGTGGACATCAAGGGGGAGTATTATGTCACTTTGTTAGTGGTTATATAAACATTCCCTGAAGTGAATGTATCCTCTTTCCTTTATATGAACGTGGTAGTGGTCATGGTTATGACCATGATAGAAGCAACTATCATAATCAGGATAGTCATTATTTATCTCTGTCTCTCAGAAGAAAAACCACACTGTTTTAACAGAAGTGGAACGCAAAACTGAAGCAAAAAAGGAAAGATATTTGAGGATACCACTCGCATAATTAATCAGCATTGTGGTATTTATCCAGATGATATATGCTAAGTTTTAATTATATACGTTGTATATTATATTGTGACTACAAATGAAAGTAGCACTTACTACCGTTTCATGTTATTAGTATGTACTATAAAAACTCTTCTAGGTTATAGTAAATGCATTGCAATGCCATTTACTTAGGTGTATGTACATATGTGCAAAAAGACCACAATGCCCCTCAACGCAAATGTCCAAACCAGGAGAAGTTCCCAAATCCATAAATTGTCTCAACTTTCGAAAAAAATTCTAAAAATAATCTAGTAGCCTCTAAATTACTTAAAACAAATAAAAATGCTTCTCTAAAACCCTTGGCTCAAGAAATAACCTAAACGGCTCTTGAAGTCCACGCGGCACTCAAAACGAGGCACGAAAAATAAAAAAAATTCAAAAAAATCTAGAAAAATCCGCGACATTACAATTTTTCATTAACTTTATGGTCACAATTTTGTTTAGAAATGGTGACTAAAATCTAACTGTCTCTAAAATTAATTTTAGTTTTATTAAGGGTGCAATATAGGTTTGGCAACCCGAACCCAACTCGAGACTAGCCCAATTTTTTGTGGGCTTAGGCAATCATTTTTACAATTAAGGTTAGATTTGGGTTGAAAAATCTCAATCCAAATTTAATTAGGGTTTGACTAAACATCCTAACCTTTTTGTAAAGAACATTCCTAACTTTTTTGAACTAGCAAGATATGATTCACTGTTCTACGGGAGACTATATTTGTCCATTGACATGCATGAACATGTTTGAATTTCTACAATTTTATTTGATAACATCACAAACAGGGATGGAGGCAGCTAATAATGCCCCTCCACTTTCTTATAATAGCACAAAATATCATATATATCTTTTTTAATATCACAAAATGCACCCTTGAGTTTGTTATTAGCCTTTGTATGTATAGGTGCATATACAAACCAAAAATTGTGGTTGTGCCCCTCCTGAGCCCAAATCCTGGCTCCGTCCCTAATCACAAAACAGTACTCTTGGCCGATGAAGAGAAAAAGGAAAGAAACCTCATCCCTGTGAATGTATAAATAGACAAGGACAATCTTTATGTGAAGAAAGAGAACTTCAAAGACAATTAACACTTCACCACCTATCATTTAATCTTATTCTTTCTTTTTACAAAGTACTTAAAACCACCTGCAAATAGAACAATTCATACTCCCTCCCTCACACCATGCAGGGATGATCCCAACAAATATAATTTGTGGAAACGGAGCACCAGAAGGTTTTATTAATCATTCACGAGCAACTACAACTAATTGTTTTCCGACGTTACGGCCACTGAAAAGTCCTAGAAGAGCTGCAGGACCACTCTCAAGGCCTTCAACACTGTCTTCCGCGTATGTTATCTTCCCTTCTCTAATAAATGGCAAAACAGCATCCAAAAACTTAGAATATTGGGGATAGTAATCATAAACTCTAAATCCTTCTATACGAACTCGCTTGTAGATGATGTACATCAAGTTTTTCACTCCTACGGGTTTATCAAGATTGTATTCTGAGACCATTCCGCAGCCAGCAATCCTGCCATGGTCCCTCATGTTAAGGAGCACTGCGTCCAGCATCGTTCCACCAACATTTTCAAAGTAAATGTCAATGCCTTCAGGACAGTACCTAGCAACAGAATAATATAATAATCGCATTCAGTGTTTGAAGCACTTTTGCATAAAGAGACAAGAGATAAAATAACATTTCAATGTTTTTAAAATGATACTACAATTTTAAATTATTGAATAAAAAGATTTCCAGACATACAATTCAGTTGGTATTGCATAAACATTTGTGCAAATAATATACTACGTAGCATATACATATGATTTTGTTGTTCAACTATATAGACCGATCACAAATTTACTTAATTTCAAAAATTCTGTCCTCTTTCTTGGGGTGATTTATTTAATAGCACTTGCTTGGTTTCTTTTATTATACATGTTTCAAACCAAAATTCATAATATTACTAGTCAATTTTTATTCTAGAGTTCTATGTGACCATCTCAGAAAGGATCAGTACAATTTGAGAAATGATGAATCTCTCTGTCTTGTGTTTTTGTAAGTAATGACAATCTAATCTTTTAATGTTTTTATGGTGTTGACGATCGAATCTCATACAGAATGATGGATTAGCAAGAAGAATAGTATTTACAACACAAAAAAAAAAATGACGTACTAAGGCGTCTAACTCATGCCCTTGAGTTTTAAAGCTATATTTTGTACTTCACTATGAAAAATAAAGGTTCCGACCTTTTCAAAGCTGCATCCAAGTCATGCTCTTCTTTGTAATTGAATGCATCACCGAAACCAAATTTGTTCTTCAACAGATCAACCTTACTCAAAATAAAAGCGAAACTAACAGGTTAGAGATTGTTAAGAACAATTGAATCCTCTAACCACAATACTCGTGCCCAAAAAAAATAAATCCATAATGAATAAATTTAGTGAAGCTAAAACATCTACATTTGGATACTTCATTCCTTCTGAAATTTGTCAATCTAGTTTCTAGCAATTAAGTTTCCATCCACACAAATAGCTAGTATTTATTAGGCTGACTTCTGATTGATGGATTTCTATTTGGTCATTCAGAGTTGTAGCTAAGATTTGGATTTCATCAATATCCATGGATGGTTTAAGAGCTTTTTGGTGTATTTAAAATAAACAAGGTGAAGGAAGTTATTTAGAATTCGTCCCATGAAAGCATTCGTTGCACAGAGACAAGTTGGTAATTCTCCTACTACTACTACTATATCCTGTCTCCCATCTCTCCCAGTTTTACTCCAATAGTCAATATTTGTCAATTGAAACTCAAATTCTTATCATTTTAAATTAGTAGTTCAAACAAAACCTCAATATTTTCATTGAATGAGGGGCACATATTACGACAAAAATTTGAAGTCCATGAATTGTACAAAATTGTTCAATATCAGGATTATATGTGGTTTTGAAATTATTCAATGAAAAATGTCAAGAACCAATGGCAAAGACAATCAAGTAAGAAAGCGAATCATTGCAGGGAAATTGATTCAATCACAATTTCGAATGACAATACAACATACATGACAAGATGAGGATACCCATTGTTAATTAATGAAGACTGTCAAATATGTAACTGAAGCATCCACCAGAGAATGGCTAGTGAAAGAATGAAATGGTACATAGACAAGACTCACCTTTTCTTTACTTCCGGCACTTCCAACAACATGGCAGCCCATCAACTTTGCAAACTGCCCAACGAGCTGACCAACTGCACCAGATGCTGCAGAGACAAACACATATTCTCCTTTCTTAGGATTACAAATCTCATAAAAACCAAAATAAGCAGTCATTCCGGGCATACCTAATAAGAAACAAATGCACAAAAATTAGATGGGGCATTAGAAATATTAATGACAAAACTATGAGAAAGATGCATCTAATTCTAATACTATATAATACTACTGACATATTTGCGATTAACCAAAATTTTAGTACTCTGCTTCTAAAGTGGAACTTTGAGGGTTTGAGTCCCTATAAAGGGTAATTGTTGGTGCATGTGTGTAAGTTGGCTGGGTGTTATTTTATTTTCACACTTATTTTGTAACTCTAATTTTATAGGAGTATAGTGAGGCCGTGGAAAATCATTCTAAACTCTATTTCATTTTGCAGTACTTCATCATAGTGAAATCCCGATGACTTCGTGAGCCTAACTCAAGTTTTAAGTGAACCACATAAATCTGCATGTTCTTATTTGTGTGATTGTTTTCTTTTACGGTTCATTAATTTTTGCAACAAGAAGAAATTCCAAGGATTGTCATATAGGCATACACAATGGATTGCATGTATCCCCTTAAATGAGAGTTTATTTGGCATTATGTCAGACTATACAAATCATATTAGTTATATATCAGTTGCAAATATTTAAATTTTAATGGCAAAAGGCTACATACTTACCCAAAATTCCTGTATAGTATGAAAGAGGTACATCAGTATGTTCAATTTTGAAAAGGGAATCAGGTTCTGTAATGAGACTGTACTCTTCCCATCTAGTTGTTCCCCAAACGAAGTCACCCTTCTTGAAGTTTGGGTGTCCTGAATCCAAAACTTTTGCTACTCCTTCCCCAGTTAACACCTACATATTTTCACCATGAAGAGTCATATACACAAGTTTAAGACTTTAAGAACCTGCAGCATGTCAATCAGAGTGAACGTGCATGCGATGTGATTTATCCATTTGATATTTCCTTGCAAGATTGAATCAACCAATTTTGAACTCTAAAAAATTACGTATCTCTACCAAGCATGTACTAATGTATTCCAATCTTGTTACGACAAAGTGACAAACCCAAGCAACAATAACGACACACAACAAAAAATAAACATGCCACACACAAAGAACATAGAGATTTAGTGTGATTCGGCAAAGCCTACATCTACGGTAAAAATCCAGTGAAAATTTTCACTATGCAAAAATTTAGAGACTACAAGTTATAGCCACCAAACCCTAACTCTCAGTTTCATACTCTTTTTTGTGATTTTTAGTGTCTCTCAATATTTAAGATCCACGACTGATAAGTAAAAACAAGTCAAAACATTTATTGGGATTCAACGGAACATCGAGTCATAAACGGGTTGCAATGTGACGACACCAAATTCAAGCCACAACATTAAAGAGAAGAGTTTCTGGTACCTAAAGGCAACCTCACTCAACTCTGGTTTTTGGAGGAACCTGTTGAAGCTCAGAGAAATGGCTAGAAGTATCATTTATTTTAAGGTTGGCTGCGGAAAGGACACAAAGTTTTGGCTGGACTTTTGGCTTCCAAAGGGCCCAATTGTAAATCAGTTGGGATTAAATGACTTGGAAATTCTTCAACTGGACTCCTCAGCCACAGTTGATAGCCTAATTTCCAATGGACATTGGATGATCCCTATATCTCAAGCTTACCCTCAATTTTTTCAGTCTGTTAATTTCCTTTCTCAGCTGTACTCTTTACAATCTCCTTCAGAGCAAATGGATAGTATTCATTGGTTGCCTAGTTCCTCTGGAGCTTACTCATTCTACCAAACTATTGCTTACTTTGCCCCTCCTTCTCCATCCTTTATTTGGCACAAATTAATTTGGTTCAAACATCACATCCCTAAACATAGTTGCATTGTCTGGCTTGCTGTTAGAGGTAGACTGTATACATTGGATTCAAAGCCTTTGCTTCACAAGCATTATATTAACAAGTGTTATCTATGTATGGCTGAGAATGAATCAATGGATCATTTGTTCTTCAAATGTTGTTTCAGTTCACATGTTTGGATGGCTATACAAGAGGTTGCAAGATTCTATATTCTACCCAACTGCTAGAATGAGCTGATTAACTGGTGCTCAACTCATTGGTCTTCTGGAAGATTTTTAGTTCATAAAGTTTTGTTGTCTGTAGCAATCTACTATCTCTGGTTGGAGAGAAATAGAAGAGCATTAAGAAATGCATACTCCAGCCCTAATCACATCTTCTCACAAGTCAAATCTTGTGTTCGAGCTAAACTAGTAGCAATTAAGTTAAAAAACTGGGCAGAGCTAAGGGGGATTTCAGCTGAGGGTGATCTTCACAATTTGTTTGCACAGGCTTGTGGAGCAGCTTATGGGCACTCTTGGTTGATTACTTAAAGCTGAATCACTGGTTTTCAAGATTCTGGAAGGTACAAGAAGCTGTGATTGGAAGATAGCAGTGTCTCCCTTCTTTGTTCACAAGAAACAAGACTTGGTTTTTGCCATGTTTCAATGGTTGCTGTGTATTGTATAGGTCTTTTAACCTTTTGTTGTCTTTTTGTCTCTATTAATGGTCTTGGCCTTCATGTGATTTTGTTTTCCCCTCTTCTTTGAGGGCTTCATGTATCTATTTTATCTTCAATACAAGCTTACCTTTAACTATAAATAAAAAAAATAAATAAATAAAAAAAAAAAAAAAAACATTACATATTTCAAATAATTTATTAATGGTACATGAATTCACCTAATCAAAAAAAATGTGAAGCCTTAATATTTATTTTTATTTCAATTGGTTGAATTCTAATAACTTGTTAAATATGTTTAAAACTTGCTAAATTTGGGGGCAATTAAAACTATGTTTTTCAATATTATTGTAGATTGATACTAATTTTAAAAATTAAAGGTAAAGGTGTTGGAAAGGGAATAGAGATTCATGTGAATTGTTCTTTTTATGAATTGATATAGTCCTTGACCGTAATTTTTCTTAAATCGTAATCCTTATTTGCATATGTAAAATAGTTTGAGCTTTGATATTTCGTCTCCATTTTTGCCCGTAATCACCATCATCAGTATAAACCAAAATAACAAGCTTGAATTATTTTATTGGTTGACATGGTAGTATTTTAATAATAAAAAAAACACTCAAGACATTTGTAAGAAAGGACAATGTTGGACAAAGCTGGAAAAAAAGAAAAAATTCGTTAATAGAATTCTGAAGTGTGATGTTTGATAAAACTGGAAATTAAGTACTGAAAATTTTACAGACTGGATTTTAAGTGTAATTTTTTAAGTGGTATTTAAAAAATAAATATTTTTAAATTTTTATTGTTCATTATTAAGTGATAAGTGATGTCATTATCACTTAAAATTTTACTTCATTTTATTTTAAGTAATATTCAAATTACATTATCAAACATACTTGGTTAAATAAGAAAATTAGACGCAAAATTGAGTAATCAAATAACATTTTAATACTCAGTATATATATGTTAAAAGTAGGATTCTACTTTTAAAAGTAAAATAAATTAGCAGTTATTTCTTTAAAATTTAAAAATAGGAGTAACTTGTAATTTCTTCACTTTTTTTCTTTTTTTTTCAGTCATGTAAAGCATTTTTCATTTGTGCAACAAATTTAATTACAGACCATGCTATAATTCACCTTTCAAAAAAAGAAAAAGAAAAAGAAGAAAAAAGTCCATGCTGTACAACACAACAATGTTAACAAAAGCATTGTTTCTGCATTTATATGAAATAAAAACCCAAAACAGTCTCTGAGTAATCATATAATTAACACAGAAACACACATATATATAGAGAGAGAGAGAGAAAGAGAGAGAGAGACATACAGAACCAGGGGTGAAGGAAGGCAAGTCAAGGCCTTCGGTTTTTTGCATTAGAAGTCGCATTTTAGGGTCGCATGATAAGTACAGATTCTTCACCAAAACCCCATTAGAACCTTGTGGCACCTTCAAACATATGGTAGTATCAGTGCTTATATACATATCACTCTCTTTTGGGAAGCCACTTGTATACTCTTTCAATAACACCTGTTTGTTTCTCACTTCTTCTCTTTCCGCCATTGTGATTCAAACACACACACTCTCTCTCTCTATATATATGGGTGCGAATAATCAGTACATTCGATATTTATACATGAAATTAGTCTGGACGAGAATTGCTCTATTTATAGCAGATGATGCATTACTGTGGTTTTACTTTTACCCTTTTGATTTGTAGTTGTGTTAAAATAAAAAATAAAAAATAAAAAAGAGATAATTAGTTACGTGAAATGACGAGAGAACCCCTTTGGGGGGTGGAATCTGGACAGAACTGTTTGGGAGAGTATGTACTGAAATGTAAAAGAAAAAGTTCTTAAATGCTCATCACTCGCGTCACTCACAAGGTGGCTTGGTTCTTGATTTTTCTAGCACCCAAAACGACCACGTAACTTCACAAGTTCACTGCATGCATATACTTTAGCACTTACGTCACTTGCATTGTATTTGATTTGTTAATGATTTTTAGTACTTTGTTTGAAGAATGCATCATAAATTAATGTAACATTGCACTTTCGAAATAGTAGATGTTTTATTCTTATGTTAAAAATAAAAAAAAAGTAGTCAGAGTTGCATTCTTATGTTGACTAGATTTACTCTGAAGTTGGATTAGTTCATTGATAATAATTTTGAACACTGCATATTAGTAGACAAGATTAACTATTCTATATTCTTGACTGCCTGTCATTCGGGAGAGATGGTTGCTTAAGAACCTAAAATGTTCGTCCTAAAAAAAGTTGAATGTTTGGTGAATGATTTGATGATGCATTTAAAGAATAAAACTAAGTTTTAAAAATCTAACCTCTGTGTATAATTTTTGTATAGTCCATAAAAACCATATATATTCAAAAGTAGTTAGAAAAACGAAAAAAAACAAAAATGTAATATCAAAGTAAGACATGCATGACCTCAAGGATTTGGGTAGTTGAAAAAGAAAAGACTTAGGCCCTGCCTTGTAAAATACCAGCTCTCAAGAGGGATTCCTCCTCGGAGGGGGTGTGTGAGTACCTTTTTTTTTTTTTTTTTTTACCTTCCCATTGATGACAAAACAAGTTCTTAAATAGTAAACGACAGATCTCATTATTTCTTTCTACAAAGTACATAAATCCACCAGCAAGTAGAACAATCAATACTACCTCCCTCACCCAAATAGGGATGATCTAGGCAATATAATTTGAGGTGTGCTACATTGTATTCACACATAAAACTCAATGTGCATCAATGGGAAAAGGATGTTCTGAGAACCTATCTCTTTTTCATTTTTATTTTTTTTTTCATTTATCTTTCGGGTTCGAGTCTTGTTAGACCTGACGGAGTCAAGTGCTCGGGAATAGTTCCCGACACTTCTTTCATTTTATCCTTACGTATTTTACCTTCGCGTCATTACGGATTTATTTTGCACTTGTATACTTTTTACTTTTTGTTACTTGGGTGTATTTGTGCAATTATATTTTTTTGGCATTTCCATTTCGATGGTACTTGTGCAATTATTTTTTGAAGATATTTTCGTTTGGGGCAATGGTGCGATTACCTTTTTAGACATTTTCATGGAGGGATTGTTGTACAAATTATGAAAGTTAGTGTCATGTGTTGTGTTTTAATTGGGACAAGAGTTGGGGTTTGATTGGTTCCATGTGGATGGTTAGATTGTTGACAAATGGAAGGTGGAGATGGTTGTGTGTGTGTGAGGTAATCCTAGGATGTGTGTGTTTGATTTATATCATCTTCTTTTAGCCACCTTTTTCTCCTTATCTTATTCTTCTTCCTCTCGCCTTGCTTCCACCATTGTCGCTCAAGCTTTGAGCTTACTTTTCCATGCCTTCCACTCACCTTCTTAATTTGCCATAGGAGGGAGCGAGCTAGAATCGTCGGGGACACTAAAACCTTCAAATCCCTTGTCCCCATTTTCATTTCCAAGCATTGTGAGGTTGAGGTGAGTTAGGGTTAGTATTCTTGACTCACCATAAGAGGGTTTTACGTCGGGGACACCAAGACTTCAAAACCCTTGGTTTTGTTTTTGGTTCTGGACACTTTGAGTTTTGCGGGGCCAAGTTCGAATTTGGTTTCGGAGGCGGTCGTAGGAGGCTTTGTCGCTCCTCTCGTCTTCCTTGTCATCCCATCAAAGTTTCATCACATTTGGAGCGTTTCTGTTTTTTTGTCATTTGAGGTTTTCACCTCAAAGCGAGGTAGGGGTAGGAGAAACTAAAATGTTGGAGCCATAAATGGCAAAATGCCAACAACAACAATGATATCATATATATTAATATTTCTAATTGTCACTTGCTAAATGACAAATTGAATGGCTATTAATTTTTTGTATAAGTTACTAAAGTTATAAAACTTGTGTAATTTTATTTAGTTAAAATTATTATTTTTCTGAATCTTTCATGAAATATAATAATGATATATTTTTTCAATAGTAATATCAAAGTACTCAAAAGGTTTCTCCAAAATGACTTTCTGAATAATTAAACAATTGTCGAAGAAAAATTGATTCTTTAACTATGCTCTCTCTTTATCTCTTCATTTTTTATTTAAAAATTATCGTTTGCTTCTCTCTATATATTTGTTTTTCGTATTAATGTTTTTTTTTTTCTGTTTATTAAGGTTGCATTTTTTTTCATTTCTAAAATTTCTTGAGGTATATATATTATGAATAAAATTTAATTACATATTACAAGTTTGACCCCAGCCCTCAAACTAAAATTCCTAGCTCCGCCCCTGGTCACTACCGCAACACACTATTATTTTTTTTTACATATACACACATGTATAATATCTATAATATTAATTCAATAGAGAAAACAAAACAAAACAAAAAAATCACTAATGTTCTCTTATGTTCAATAAAAATGCATGAAGCATTTTTTTATCAAACTTTTTTCTTTGCGTATAAAATGGTATACTCACAAGAAAAATATCTAGAATTATATAATAATCTTTATTGGGCCGGGAGCCCTAAGCATATTGGGAAGGAAGATAAACTAAAGTATTGTAAGAGTGTCAATAACAACAATAATATCATATATATATATATATATATATATATATATATATATATATATATATACACACACCAATACTTTTAATTGTCACTTATTAAATAACAAATTTATAACTAGTTGTATAAGTTACTAAAATAATAATCTTGTTTAATTTAAATTTGAGAGATTTTGATTCGTTTAAAATCATTTACTTTTCTAATCTTTTATTTTTAGGTTTATCTTTCTCAAGTGGAATCAAATTATTCAATTTCTTTTTTACAAAAATTATATTTTTGTAAAACTAAAACAATTGATAAAAGAAAATTTGATTCTCTTTCTATTTGTCGGCCAACACATAGAACAATAGTAAAGTAAATTAATTTTTTGACTAGTTCCTTCCTGAAATAATTGGAAGTTGTTGTTTGTTCCGTCTGTTGTGTTGTTTTTTCCTCCTGTTCGTTTGCTTAGTTAAAATAAAAAAGAAAAAAAATATTTGTTTAGCATTTCATGAATATAGTATATCTTTAGATTTTAATTATGATGAAAAACATGAAAAGGCATGAACTTAATTAAATTTTAGAGTAACGCTATCAAGTGATTGTAGAACTTATACTCTGTTAAATAAAAGATCTAAACGACCAAAAAAATAAATAAATAAAATAAAAATAAAAATTCAATAAAGGCTTAAAAGCACATATTTTTATAATAATTAGTGGAAATAGAACCCAATAAGGGTCTTGGATTACAGTGCTTACAAGGGCAGGTTAAACCCAATAGATACCGCCACAGGCTCAAGTAAGAACCTACATATTTAGAACCAGAAGGCCCAAAATTTATGTTTTGTTTTTTTTTCTTCACTCTTCTTCTTTTTAACCTATATTTAGTAGTGAATCTTAGTTTCTCTTTTTCCACTACAAGCAGCTCTTTGGCACAATCAAACCAGAAATTGTTCCACCGGCATTAGCACACGACGACTCTGCCGGTTGATTCTTGAAGGTGAGCTTCACATCTTCCAATCTTATCCCATTGCACGGATACTTCTTACTACAGTCAAATTTCACAGCAACTTCAGTCGCCGATGTTCCATGAATGTCTTGATATGTGACGTCGCTAATTTTCACACCGGAGACCTAAAGAAATGAAAATTAAGAGCCAAAGAGACAACTAATTATTTTTCAAGAAGATATAAGCTTATACAAGCACATTATTTTTGTACATCGAGTATTTTTTTCTAATTTAAGCAGAAGGCCCAAACAGAATGGCCCTATAAGCCCAAAAAGCCATGATAAACAAACATTGATGTGTGCCTTTCTATTATTTTTAAGTTTCCAAAAATGCCCTTCAAAAATGTTACCTGGCCGGGGCAGTTCTTGTTGTCGGGGCAGTAATTCTGGGTGATAATGACGGGATTTTGGACATTTACCATAGTGGCATGTTGGAAAAGAACCCCTTTAACAAATCCAGTGCTTGGCCTACCCCAAGTCTTTATCCTGACACCATTGTCAGTACCGGTAAAAGTAACCGTTTTAACTGTCACATTCTGCACACCAGGCTCTTGAGAATCCTTGCCCAAACTTCCAATGCTGCACCAAACACCCAAATCCACATATATATTAGCACAATATTTATACATATAATCTATATAATTAAATAATATTAACACTGTTGACTCCTACACGAAACACTTATCACTCTTTTAAAAATTGCTCTCAATTAGTTGTTGTATTGATATTTATAGACCGAACATATATACCAATTATGTCTGGCATACTTAATATCTACTTAGTATTAAGACCCCCAAATAGAGTCCACTTGAAGACATTATGCAATTTCAGCCAACTTTCGGTATTCAACTCAAACTTTTAAAATTACACCAAATAATGATCTTTATATATATATCTAATAAATATATATTTATGTGTGTATATATACATATATCTACCTGATTCCATGACCAGGGCCGCAGGCGACGTTTTCAATCCACAAATTGGAGGTGCCGGGGCCAACTGAGACACAGTCATCGCCTGTGGCAATCCTAGAGTTCAAGATGGTAACACCAGACGATAATTGCACGTGGATGCCGTCAGTGTTGGGGCTGTTTCCGGCGGCCGAGACTTTCACTCCTTGCACCATCACATTGTGGCAGCCATGAATGACAATGTGGAACATTTGACTGTTAAGTGAAGTTAATCCACTCATCTCTATGTTGTTGGAATTGGTAAATCGCAGTGTCTGCACACAAAATAAAAACCCCAATTATATATATATATATATATATATTTGTTTCTATATGTATATAGATATGAAGAAGAATTAAAACATCAACGACACCATGCTTTGACCTTGGAAGCCCGAAATTATTGAACCACAATATATTAACCAAATAGCTAGTTGACCTTTTAAGCCCGAAATCAGTGGACCATGACAGATTGGTAATAATATAGTCCCTAACCGTAACCCCACTTCGCAGTAAAAACATTTATTTCAAACTTTTTTTTCCATAACTGTCAATGCTTGATTGACACTTCCCGTTTGGTAACCAAGAAAGAGGAGGAAAAAACGAAATAAAGCTACATCCATTTGGAAAAACAGTTTGTAACAGCCTAAAAGTCAAGCACCCACCTCGTGAAATGACAACACTACCCCCAAGCTAAGCGCGCTGCGCTGAGATATATAGCCTCTTTGTCTTCTCAACCTACTGCTCAGTTACATACTGTGTGTTTGTGTGTGTATATACCCTCTATACGAAACCGGGAAAGTATTCAGTACATCCCGTACCGAAAATGTAGTATTCCCCCACCAATTACCATCAAGGAAGCTATATGGTGAATGTATATATTCAATATTTTTAAGTAAAGGAAATATCCAAATTATCAAAAATCAAATTAATAAAAGGGTATTTTTGTAAGTTCAACATACCGTAGCTCCACTAGGACAACCATTGCCGGAGGCCTTACAAGACCACAAACCAGTGCCTTGGCCATCAAGGGTACCACCATGGATGGCAACACCACTGACTCGCTCGAAAAACAGCCAGTTACCGGCGCTCCCAATCACCCGGTAGTCCGACGGCGCCACAAGGGTTCCATCGATACGTATCAAGATGGCGCCATTCTTGCATGGTCCGGCGAACCGGGCACCATGAAGCAAGAACCGCCCCGGCGGCACGTAGATGGTAGCCGGGCTTGCCGAGCCACAAGCTGAAGCCCATGCACTCAAGAAGGCCTTGGTTGAGTCAGTCTTGCCATCAGATTTGGCTCCTAAACTCATCACATTGTATGTCATTTCATTTGCTGATGATTGGGTTAAGAAAATGAAAAGTGCTAGAGCAAAAGAACTCATGGGGTGCAACATTTTCATATGAAGGAGAGCCATATAGATATATGTATGTATAGAGAGAGAAGAGGAGTTAGAGGAGTTGATGGTGAGGAGTTGGAGCGGTTTGAGGACGGTATTTATAGTGTGGGATCTTAATGCATGTTTTGGATAGTAAAAACCAAAAGTAAGCAAGTCGCGCCGAAATTGGGAGGTATGTTGCTTGTACTCAATTTTCATTTTAGGTCTTCATTACTGAAATGTCCTTGCTTTGGAGCTGAAATTGCATTTATGAGTGTGTGTTTTTTCTCCTTGATTCTTCCCAATTATCTTCTGGTCTTGTTTGGTTTCTAGATTTAGTGTAGTCATTAGTGTAACAGAAAAGACTTGTCTTACTTTCCGAAAAAAAAAAAACGAAGACTTTTGTATTGTTTGGCTATACCACGAAAATAGGGAAAGAGAAATACAATTAATTTGATTTTAGAATAATGTTATTGTAAGAGTACTCTCGCAAAAAGTTTAAACAACTCCCACTTATAAGTCACACAATTCTTATTTTTAGGAATTTGGAAAAGATAATTAATTAAGAAAGAATCATTTGCAATAAAGGAACAAATTAAACTTTTTACGTTCTCTTCACGTTCTCTCTTTCTCTCTCTTGATTAACACCCTTAACAAATCTGTCTCTTTCTCTCTCTTAGTTAACCTTTAAAGAATTTGTCTCTTTCTCTCTCTTAGTTAACTATATGTCTTTCAGTCAAAGAGTCTCTCCACATGCATTCTATTTTTGGTTTCTCTCTCTCCATGCCATCAATTCGATTACCGAATATAGGTGAGACTTTGATTGAGTCATTTTCATTATTTCTTTGATGAAGAAATTACTATAGATATGAAGGAGGGGGAGGAATTGTGTTTTAATTGTCTTCTTTGGAAATTGCATGTTGTCTAAGAATGCTATCAACACTAATGGCTTGCATAATATCATGAGTAAGATTTGATTTGTTAACCAAGAGAGAGAAAGTGAGAACGTGGAGAGGAGAGAGAAAGAAGTTTGATTTGTTTCCTTATAGCAAATGATTTTTTCTTAATTAATTCTCTCTCCCAAATCCCTAAAAATAGGAATAGTGTCTTTATAGGCCGGAGCTCTTTAAACTTTTTGCGCATTACTCTTTTATTTTATATGTGGCTTTAATTATCTTTTCTTTTTCCTTATTCTCCAACCATTTATTTATTTATTTATAATGCTTAAATTAAGAAAATATAAATTGCTTATGTAGGAATTTTTTTATATAAATTGCTTTATTCTTTACTTTTCTTTAATCTTTGATTGATTGATGGATAGTGGATAGGATCTATTTTATTAATTAAAAATAAATTTTTAATAACTTTTTTCATTTTTGAAGGGTAATTCGAATTACTTTAATGATAATTAATAAACTTTATTGGATACTGCATGAACTAAATCTTTTTGAAAATTTAAATTCTTTGTTTAGATGGAAATAGCAAGAGAAAATATGGAAATGAATTTTTTTTCTTTTTTTAACATTTTACGAGTTTGGTTAGCAGGAAAATGAAAATTTTGAAAAAAATCACTTTCCAGAACTACCTAATTTTTACATAAAATTTTCTTTCAAAAAAAATTTTTTTTGATTTCTTAAGAAAATTTTGTAAACTTACAATATTGTCCTTTCTTTTATGATAATTTTACATTATTTTCTTTCAAATCATAAAATAATAATTTTACATTATTTTCTTGCAAAATCTTTATATTAATCAAATTGACGTTAAAAACTTAATTTTCCTGACTTTACTTTCTTTTACTTTGACTTTGTACCACTAGTTTTCGTCTAAACCAGCGGACCCTTATGTAACACTTGGCCCCTTATGGGTAATACATGCACTATTATATTTGTGATTTTGGATTACCAAAATGGAAAAGAAAAGAAGAGTAAAACTAGTTTGAAAGAGTAAAACTAGGTTTTAATATTATACACGCACTAACTCGTCCAACTCTAAACCTCTCACTTTAGAATTTGAAGTTGTTTCAATAATAGAGTAGCACTAGTTACAATATAATAACAAGGAAAAAAAAATAGAATATATATACTATTAATTAAAATCCTTCTCAATATCCCGTATAAGCGCTATTTCTCCCTCCACAAAAAAGATCAGATATTCGAGCATCCATAAATATACGGGTGTAAGTGTTTATATTAGTAATGATACATCTTCACGAAAAAGGGGAGTGGGGGTTTGGCCCAAGAGAAAATAAAAATAATAATAATTTATGATTTGAGAAGCACAAAATATGATTTTTAAAATAAAAAAATAAAAAAGAAAGAAATAAGAAACGTTTATCATTTCTGCCTGTTTCTTTTCACGCACCCAACAATTAAAAAAAATTACAATAAAACTCACCATTTTTCTCTCGATCTATTTTTATTTTTTTTTTAATCACCTAATTTTTATATCAAATATGAGATCACTTTGCTTTTCTTTTCTTTGCTTCCAACTCCAATAAAGTCCTAGCTAATAAATTCAAAAAGACATCAATATATGAATGAGCACACGTACGGCCGTTAAATATAATAATTATATATGCCTATGATTGCTTGAGATAGGAGAATTTCAAAAGTTAGTTAAATTCAAATATGTGGTAGACGACCGTTAACGTGACATAATAAAACTCAAAACATTCCCCCATTCCCTCTCCCTTTATCCTGGTGCATGTTATGTGTAATATATTATATATAATATATTTGTGTGTGTAACTGTGTATCTACATGTATATAAACACCCACCGAGACACATTATATATGTGTATGGGCCTTTTGTGTTGCTTTAAGCGCAAGATCAACGCCTCCATTCCCGCCGTTCTAGCCTATGGACTCCGCCTCCATGTTAACCACATTTTCCTTTTTATTTGCGTAAGTTACCAAAACATCTTTCACACGTGCACATATACACACATAATATAATATAATATAATATAATATAATGGCTTCAGATGACTTACATTGGTTTTCATTCTTTTTAAAATAGTGGAAATTCATTCGATTTTTGGGTTAATTACAATAACAACCTCTGAGGTTTGCCATAATGACAGTCATATATAAGTTTGGCATTTTTTTAACAATGACACCCCCTTATCAGAATTTTGATCAATTTTTATCCAAACAGGCCCTTAAATGATTTGAAAAGACAAAATTGCCCATCAGTATTTAATTGATTTTAATAACAAAATATCAGAATTTTTAAAAGACGCATTTGCCCTTCTATCAAGATCTCACCTAACCCTAAACAAATGGTGTGTCTATTCATTCCACACACTGTCTCTAACTTTTGGAATGAAGAAGAATTTATATTCTATCATTGATACAAATCGTGATCCGGAGATAACGCAGATGCTCGCCACCGACAGCACACTAGTCGAACAAATTCGAAGCTCGAAGCGTGTAATCCAACGCCTTGCTTAGACCATCACCGGCGGTGATTGTATTCCTGCCAAGAACCCCTTACTGAATGGCTCAAACAGATCATCTGCCTTCTGCGGCGGCGGTGCAATTCGAAGCTCGAAGCGTGTAATCCAACGCCTTGCTCAGGCCATCACCGGCGGCGATTGTATTCTTGCCAAGAACTCCTTGCTGAACGCCCAAACAGATTATCCGCCTTCTGCGGCGGCGGTGCCACTGTCGTCTCCGCTTCGGCATTCCGCCATATCACTTCTGCTGAACAGAGATTGGCATCTTCGTTGATGGCAATATTAAGCCCATATCTGATTTTGCATCATCTCATTCGTCAATGGAGTTCCAGTGGATATATATGGCCTTGTCAGTTCGACCCGAGAGGAGGCGGGCAATGGTGGCCCATTTGTTGCCAAATGGGGCGATGGTTTCCTTTAAAATTGGTTTGGAAAAAAAATTGTGATTAATTTGGGGATGTTTTGGGTAGTGTAGGAATGGATTGGATTGCAAATGTGTGTGTGTGTATAAAAGAAAGAGGTTGAAAAGAGGAAAGATGAGGCGGTGGTGATGGCGGCGATGGCTCTGTGGGTATGTGGTTGGTATGAAAAATGGGTAAATTGGTAATTTCAGTGTCCCATCATAAGTCAAAGGTTATTGAGGTCATTTTACCATGTCAAGGGATGTCTTTGTGAAGGGAGCAAACCTGAGGGGGTGTGATCGTTCAAAAGTGAGCCAATTTGTATATGATTGTCATCATAACAAATTTCAGGGGGTGTCATTGTAATTAACCCAAAATTTTTTGTGAAAAAAAAAAAAAAGGAAGAAGAAGAAGAAGAAGAAAAGAAGTTGAATCGATTTATGCGGACCCTCTCACAAGGTCACGGTGGGCTCAAGCCATGGTCTTGTGGCTTGTATAGTACGGTTCTTATAGAATTGTGTTTATTCATTTTTGTACTACAAAAGGGTATAAATTTTGAATTATTTTTTCGATCACATCTTTGTTGAAATTGTGAAATTTAAATTTATAGTGGTACTTTTTCACCACGTCAAAAATTCAAGTCCAAAAAAAAATAAAAAATAAATCTAGTATTAGATTAATTTCATACTTTGCTCGGACCATAATTTGATTAAATTATCATAAGATCGTACAAATTTGACCCATTTTTAATTCAAATTTTCTCTTATCTCCAAATGTAATGGGTAGACGTTTGTCCATTTACCCGAAAATTTAAGTTATTTAGTAGTGTTTCATATCCACCCATTTATACACACTTCAATATCCACCCGAATTTGCGCAACGCCCTCATTGCGATCGAGCCATCTTGCCTACCAGGGATCTAGACTCGAGCGCCCTCATGACTGGAAGATTGGCGTGTCACCGAATTAAGGACTGAATCTGGCTTTGATACCAACTACAACAGGTGGACACTTATCATTTTACTCAAAAATTTTAACTATTCAGTAGTAATCAATTCTCACTTATTTATACACACTTTAACTCCCACCTGTAACACCAAACCACTTAAAAAGATGCTATCAAATGCCAAGTCAAACCCAATTTATTTCATGGCATAATTACATGCTATTAAAGTTGTGCAGAAAAGAGAATGAATTTGAAAAAAAAAAATTTAAAGAAAGAAGAAAGAAAAAGAAAAAGAAAATAAAAGGAAAACTTGTATTGATAAAAGAGAGAGAAGTGAGGTACGGATCTTGTGAAAGTATTGAAAGAGACAAGTGCATTTAATGTGACTGAAGTGATAACATTAGCCTTTTAAAAAAATGGGGTTGAGACCGGGCGTAGACATTAAAATTTTAATAGGCTTTAATTTTGACAAATGGATCCATTAAATATGGATCTAATATTTAGTTAAGATATTTAATTGGCCCAAGTTTGGTCCACTTAAATTATTTAATTAAGCCCAGTCCAGATGGTCAAATAAAAAGAATAATTATTCCTAATAAAATATATTTGGAATAATTATTTTTAAGGATAATTATCACAATATAACCGGTCCGGCCCAGTTATAATTTTATCCTTATCAGGAGATGACACGTATCATCATCCTATTAATCCAAGAAGCCTATAAATAGAGGCCTGGAGGAAGAAGGAAGGGATAGAAAATTCTGCATTCAGAGAACCAGAATTCCAGAGAGAAATATACAAGCTCTCATCCTCTACATCCAAATCCAAAGGCGAAGAATGTAATACCCCTAATTTTAAAAGGATAGTCTCGGCATTTTTAATATTTATTGTATTGCATTTTTATTTATTTTATTGTCTTTATTGCATTTTTATTTATTTCATTGTTTTTCATTTGTTTAATTGGTTATTTGAAATTTGAATTAAATTGGTTTTATGTGTGCATTATTTGGTTTATTTAAATTCTCAATTATTGTGTCTATTTTCGTAAATTATTAATTGTATTATTTGCAATTCACTGTTTTAAACTTAGGTAATTAACTTATTATAATTCTTGTAATGTTAAAATTAAGTTACGTGAGTTTTTAAATACATTAATTGACTCACAGTTTCTTTTGGGCATCAACATAGAATTTAATCATAGGTTTTGTTCATGGGCCGACTAGGATTAAGATTAGGGCTCTGCCTTTAAAATTACAAGGATTAGGGTTTTAGAGTTAAACCTATAAATACAACCATTATGCTTTAGCCTAGGGTTTACAATCATAATTCAGATTACACAAACGTGAAGTAAGTTCTTAGCATAGGGGGTTGTGAACGGAGGCACTGTAAGAATTGTCAAGGAGAAGAACAGTGAGTACCAAGGGAGGATTTTGGTGGATTAGACTAGAACCAGAGGAGGCTAGAAGGTAGTCTGTGGTTGCCGGAAGTTAGGACGACGGCGACAAGTTTTAAGTCTAAAACTACAGGCAAGTTCTTCTCTTCCTCCTTCCATCTGGCTAGTGTTCTGTGCACCTAGATAATCTCTAGGGTTTAATTAATTATTAAATCAGAACTTAAATGCTTACCATATAAAATATTGATGATCTTTGCGTGTTAAAATAAATTCTGTTAATGCTTGCAAGTCTTGTTTCAGTTCTCTGTTAAAGCATGTTTTGTTGTTAGCAATTTTAGTTTCTATAATTGTTTTTAACCTCTGTAAATAAATCATGGGGATGATTATGGGGTGTTATAGGACTCTTAAGATCAGTAGTGAAGAGGAACAGAGGGGTTGGACTAGAACTGTTATTGCAAAATAGTTGCAGATTTGTTCCTAACGCGTGTTAGTTCGGTAGCCAATTTAACCTATGTAATTGATTCTAATGGTTGTTATCAAACCTTTGGGATGCTCATGGGTGTTAATAAGATGCTTAAAATCTATGTTAGAAACCAACAGAATGGTAGGAATTGATCAGAGAGGGAGCAGACGAACTGAAACGAAGTAACGGGGACAGAGGCTCTCAAAGGAGGTGAGAGCCGGCTCCATGGATGTGGGAGCCGGCTCCCACAACAAGTAGAGCCCGCTCTAAGGACTCCTAGAGCCGGCTCTAGGCTGAAAGAGCCTGCTCCCAAAATTTGGAGCAGGCTCCCTTTTGCAATATATGATTAATTTTATTTTTTTTTAGTTTTAAGGCACTGTTTGGTAATTTGGACACTGTTTGAGCCTTGGGATGTTTCTAATGGATTGTGGGGACTTTCCAGAGGATCTAATTACTTGATTCTAAGTGTGATTAAACTAGTTGATGCATGGTTTAAGTCTCTAAGATAAAGGATAAAATAGTATAAAAGCGTATGACTTAGTACACTGTTATCGGATGGGACGAAATAAATTGTTTAGGTTAATTTAGCAATTTGTTGGACTATAATAGGATTATAGAATTTGTTCTAAATGCATGATAGAGTCATTGATATATTGGATTAGGTCTATGCATGCTTTGGATGCCAGTTGTGTAAACTATTAAACTGTTTCATGCAATTACATGGTTTAATTCTGGGATTTAAATTGTTGAAATCTTAAATACTTTTCTGCAATTATTTGGATGGTGGTTGAATTGTAAATTACTTGTTCATTATGTATACATTGTAATTTACCTGGATATGGAGGATTGTATGCACCGGTATGGGACGGTGACATACTGGTGACGATTTAGCTCCAAACACCTAAACCTAACCTAACGGATTTAAGGAATGGATTTATAAATATTGAATCCTAATTTTGGTTAAGACATGTCAACTGCAACTAAGTTGAGTGGCTTTCTGGATTAATGGATGGAGGTTAAGTCACATCAACTGAATAAGTTGAGTGACTAACCAGTTGGTTTGTTGTATGTCAGTTTATTAAACATTTGAACTACATACCCTGGATTTGGATGGATTATATATATATGTTTATGGTACCACGAGCTGAGCTTGAGTCTCAGACTCGTTGGTTAGGGTGTGTATATGCGGTGGATGCGTAGCTGGTTATAATAGGTTGAGGTGTACCCTGTTAGGTCTAAGTACTCATGCCTACCTTTGGGTGCGTATTCGCATGTTACCTTCTATTCAGGTTGAGACCCCTATTATAGACTAGTGAATGTCCCTTAGTATGGATATATTTATACATATGGACTAGATAGATATGGTGAGGTGTCTACGGTGTATCTACGTATCGGATCATTGTATGGATTGCAGT